CTGAAACAAGAACAGGAAGCTACAGAAAGGATAAACCACAGGACAACAAAGTGCTTCTAGAAGCTAAAATTATCTGAAATTTCAGGGAAACAGTTTGGAAGATAAATTTTACAAAACCTCCTAGCAAGTAAAAGAAAGTACAAAGAAATGAAGATTAAAAAGAATTTAAAACCAGAAAACAAATATAAGAGGGTTCAACAATCATCCAAATGGGGTGGGCATTGGGGCACAGGGACTCCCACATCTCAGACTGGAGTGCCACTTTCATTCCTGGCTATTCTGCTTCTGATCCAGCTCCCTCCTAATGTGCCTGGGAAGCAACAACAATGGATCAAGTACCTGAGTTCATCATAACCAGTGGGAGACTCAGATAAAGCTATGGGCTCCCACCTTCGGCAAGGCCCAGCCCAGGTTGTTGGGGTCACTCAGGGCAGTTAACCAGTGATGGAAGCATTCTCTGTCACTGTGCCATTCAAACACATTTTTAAAAAAAATAAACAAATTGGGGGCCAGTGCTGTGACTCACTTGGTTAATCCTCCACCTGTGGTGCTGGCATCCCATATGGGTGCCGGGTTCTAGTCTCAGTTGCTCCTCTTCCAGTGCAGCTCTCTGCTGTGGCCTGGGAGGGCAGTGGAGGATGGCCCAAGTGCAAGGGCCCCTGCACCCACATGGGAGACCAGAAGGAAGCACCTGGCTCCTGGCTTCGGATCGGCACAGCGCTGGCCGTGGCAGCCATTTGGGGAGTGAGCCAACGGAGGGAAGACCTTTCTCTCTCTCTCACTGTCTATAACTCTACCTCTCAAATAAATTAAAAAACAGACAAATCTTAAAGCATCAAAATGAATTATGTAAAAAAATTTTTAAGGCAGATTTGTTTGGCTGTAGTAATTAAAATGCCTCTTGTGACCCCTGAATCCCATACTGGAATGCCTGGGTTTGAGTTCCAGCTCTGCTTCTGATTCAGCTTCCTTCTAATGTCACCCTAGGATGCAGCAGGTGGTGGCTCAAGTGTTCAATCCTTACCACTCACATGGGAAACCTGAATTAAATTCCTGGCACTGAATTGCTCTGGTATGGCCCAGCTGTAATTGTTTTAGGCATTTGGGGAGTGAATTGGCAGTAAGTTCACTTTCTCTCTCTCTTTCAAATAAATGAATACACACACACGTGTGTGTTTGAAAAATAGAACAAATAAAGGGAAAACAAAGAATTCTCAGAACTAAAGGGTGAATATTTAGAAAGTTACACACTGAAGGAAAAAAAAACAAAACACATCAAGCAAATCATTGTAAAAATGTCAGAATGGAGAAGATAAATATCCAAGAAGGTTTGAGAAATAAAAAATAAGTTCAATGCTATTCTGATTCTTGATCTTTCATATCCAATACAAAGCAATACTAGAAGCTTGGGCCCCTGCACCCACATGGGGGACCCGGAAGTTCCTGGCTTTGTGTCAGCTCAACTCTCGCTGTTATGGTCATTTGGAGAGTGAACCAGCAGAATGGAAGACCTCTCTCTCTCTCTGGCTCTACCTCTATAACTCTTTTAAATAAATAAAATAATTCTTTTTAAAAAAATCTTAAATGTTAAAGTGATCATATAGGCAGGATTAAGTGTTAAAGGGATCACATATTTAAGACCAAGTGCCTGGTAATAATAATAGATAGAAATAAAAAGGAGAGAATGTGGCTGGCGCCGCGGCTCACTAGGCTAATCCTCCACCTTGCGGCGCCGGCACACCAGGTTCTAGTCCCGGTCGGGGCGCTGGATTCTGTCCCAGTTGCCCGTCTTCCAGGCCAGCTCTCTGCTGTGGCCTGGGAAGGCAATGGAGGATGGCCCAAGTGCTTGGGCCCTGCACCCCATGGGAGACCAGGATAAGTACCTGGCTCCTGGCTCCTGCCATCGGATCAGCGCGGTGTGCCGGCTGCAGCGCACCGCCCACGGCGGCCATTGGAGGGTGAACTAACGGCAAAAGGAAGACCTTTCTGTCTCTATCTCTCTCACTGTCCACTCTGCCTGTCAAAAAAAATAAAAAATAAAAAATAAGCAGAGAATGGGACTGGGAATGGGAGATGGAAGAGGAGGTGGGGTGGGAGTAGGAGTGGGAAGAATTAATATATTCCTAAAGTTGTACTTATGAAATTTGTACTCTTTAAAGAAAATGTTTCTTTGGGAAAAAATGGTAAAATGCAATGTAATATAAAATAATAAGAATGGATTTATTATAAAAAAATACACTGAAGTGGTATTTAGTCTGGTATAAGATGTCCACGTCCCACATCAGACTGCCTGGATTCAACTCCTGGCTCCATCCCCAATTCCAGATTCTTGCCGACATAGACTCTGGTAGACAGTAGTAATGGCTCAACTAGGTTCCTGCAACCCAAGTGTGGAAGACCTGGATGGAATCCCCAGCTCCTGGCTTCAGTGTGGCTCACCAGACTTGTTTCCAGCATTTGGAGAGTGAACCAGCACATGGGAGCTCTAGTTCATTTGCCTCTTAAACCAATTACTATACCATCATACAGTTTTCCTATAAATGACAAAAATGGATTGGGAATGAGGAACTTTTTTTCTGAAAGGTATTGTCAGTTTCTGAAGTTGGCCATGTCTAAGAGGTTTTTATTTGTCCATAAATTCTTAAGAAGAGGAGTTAGAGTCAATGCAAAGAAAAAAAGAGAGGCACACTTCTGTCCAACACTGTTATTTCCAACAGGTGCTATCAAAATAGAAAAATATGAAGTCTCTGCAGGCAACAAATTGTCATTCAGAGTTTTTAAGTACAGTCCAGAGGACCATGTGGTGGAAGCACTGTAGAAGAAAGTCAGTCAGTGATGGACAGTTGAACTACAGAATCCATATTTAGTGAGTACTGTTTTGGATCTCTGTGAGTGCTGTAGTTACAGGCCTAAGAGCAATTCTAAGAGCAAGGCATTCCCTTGTTAATCAGGAACCCCTCTTAGATTTCCAAATTTCCCCCTTATCCAAGAGAGTGGGTCCGAGTATTGAATAGGCATGCTTACCAGTTTATTATGAAGGATATTACAGAAGATACAGGTGAACAGATGCATAGGGCAACTCATGTTCTATGCCCTCTCTCTATATAAATTACCTTCTAGAAACCTCAGCTATATAGCAGCCCTAACAACTCTTTATTTTTGGACAGGCAGAGTGGATAGTGAGAGAGAGAGAGAGAGAGAGAAAGGTCTTCCTTTTGCCGTTGGTTCACCCTCCAATGGTCGCCACGGCTGGCGCGCTGCGGCCGGTGCACCGTGCTGATCAGAAGGCAGGAGCCAGGTGCTTCTCCTGGTCTCCCATGGGGTGCAGGGCCCAAGCACTTGGGCCATCCTCCACTGCCTTCCCGGGCCACAGCAGAGAGCTGGCCTGGAAGAGGGGCAACCGGGACAGAATCCGGCGCCCCTACCAGGACTAGAACCTGGTGTCCCGGCACCGCTAGGTGGAGGATTAGCCTATTGAGCTGCGGTGCCAGCTCCTAACAACTCTTGATATTATTTTTCTTTTCTATAATATCTTGTTGGCATCAATCATTAATGTTTTTGTCTCTTTAAAAACATTAAATCTGGGGCTGGTGCTGTAGCATAATGGCCTGCAGCATCAGCATCCCACATGGGCACCAGTTGGAGTCCCGGCTGTTCCACTTATAATCCCTGCTAATGAGGCTGCGAAAGCAGCAGAGGGTAGCCCAAGTGCTTGGGCCCCTACATCCATCCGAGAGACCCGGAAGAAGCTCCTGGTTATCAGCTTTGGATTAGCCTAGCTCTGGCCATGGCAGTCATTTGAAGAGTGAGCCAGCGAATGGAATATCTAACTCTGCCTTTCAAATAAATATTTTTTAAAAAATTAAATCTGTGCTGGTATTTGGCACAACAATTAAGCTACTGCCTCCAACATTGAGATCCCATATGAGTACCAGATAAAGTCTCAGATAGTCCACTTTGTGATCCAGCTCCCTGATAATGCACCTACGAAGTAGAGGATGATGGGATAAGGGCTTGGGCCCCTGAACCCACATGAGAGACACAGAAGGAGTTCCAGGCTCCTTACTTCAGCTCAGCCAAGTCCTGGGCTATTATGGCCATGAGGAGTACACTAGCCAACGGAAGACCTCTCTCTCTCTCTTTCTTTTGCTGTAACTCTGCCTTTAAAATAAATCAATCTTGGGGGCCGGCACTGTGGCATACTGGACTAAGCCACTGCCCACAGTGCTGGCATCCCACATGGGCACTGGTTTGAATCCTGGCTGCTTCTCTTTTGATCCAACTCTCTGCAATGGCCTAGGAAAGCAGAAAAAGATGGCCCAAGTCCTTGAGGCCCTGCACTCCTGTGGAGACCTAGGGGAAGCTCTTGGCTCCTGGCTTCAGATCAGTCCAACTCCAGCTGTTGCAGCCATTTGGGGAGTGAAAAAGCAGATGGAAGGCCTCTCTATCTCTCCTTGTTTGTCTGTAACTCTGCCTCTCAAATAAATGTTTTTAAAATAAATACATAAATCTTTAAAAAAAGAAAAAGATCACTTTGAAAAAAATTTAAATTTTTTTAAAATTAAAACTACTGTTACCATATATAAATTATTCTACTATAGCCCAAACATTTCTTTACTACTACTGTAAATTCAGTAATAGAAGACATATGGGGGGTTGGCGCTGTGGTTCAGTAGGTTAACCCTCCGCCTACGGTGCCAGTTCTAGTCCCAGCTGCTGCACTTCCAATCCTGCTCTCTGCTGTGGCCTGGGAAAGCAGCAGCAGATGGCCCAAGTGCTTGGGCCTCTGCACCCACATGAGAGACCCAGAAGAAGCTCCTGGCTCCTAGCTTCTGATCAACTCAGCTCCGGACATTGCAGCCAACTGGGGAGTGAACCAGCGCGTGGAAGACCTTTCTCTCCCTCTCACTGTATGTAACTCTACCTCTCAAATAAATAAGTAAAATCTTAAAAAAAAAAAAAAAAAGACATATAGGAAAGTGCTAATATAAAGTCCTTACCTCAGGCCTCAAGGAAGGAAGAATGACAATTTCCTGCAAGGCTTGTTTTGCCAACTCTTGACCAGCTATATCATCAAATTTAACAGCCGTTCCACTAAAAAACAGAACTTTAATTAGTTCCACAATAGAAATACAGTGAATATAATATGAAATCTAAGTTCTGTGACATGTAGTTATTTTTAGGTATTGTGTAGTTATTGTTAAATCAGTAAAGCAATCCTTTTCTAAATTTATAATGAGAACTCTTAAGAATATAAATCAAGGTATTTATGATCTATGATAATCTTTTTAAAATGAAATTTAAAAATAAGAATTGTAAAATAAAACACTTTATATGGCAACACTTACTTGTCCACAATTTCATTCATTATAAGGTTTGCGAGATTGCTGTCTACATTTCTGAAATTCTTCAAGTCTTTCTTTTTTCGAGCAGCAGTTGTAGGGGTAGAAGGTTTATTTGTTCTATTTGTTTTTGAAGGACCCTTAAAGTATACAAAATTTTAATGTGACAAAAACCTACATATTTTTTAAAAAACTGATATACTTTTAATGCAATAAACATTTACATAGAAGGAAATAATTTTAAAAATAAATTTAAAATAAAATATACACCATTAAATGAAACAGACTGGGAAAGCAAACAATATAATCCCTAATTAAGGTTCTAAAGAAATTAAGTAAGATTTGCTTCAGAATAGCAAGTTGCCTTTGTGGATTAAAAAAAAATCTGTATATTTAACTTAGTGGAAATAAATCAATTCTCTAAGTATTTTTAATAAACTTAGGCAAGCATAAAATATGCAGAATTTCATACTGAAAAAAGCACAGAGGTTAAAGTTACTGTCTCAGAATACCTTATGGGTGGCAGCTGCAGGGCCAGACCCTTGTCTCGCTCCAGAAACCATGGATAAACCACTGCAACTAGGTGCTCTGTGGTGACCTGAAAGACCTGTGGATCCAGTTTTCATAACTGTTTTTGAACGAGGCAGTGAATTACTAGTGTGTGTTAAGGGATCTTTTCTTTTTGGAACAGCTCCACTTTCTATCAAAAAAAAAAAAAAAAGGTAAAACCATCAGCATTAGAAAATTGGAGTAAACATTATAAAAGTAATAAAAAAAGTTCAAACTTGTAAAACTAGACTAATATCTGAAATTCAGAAATAATTACATGTAAGATTTCATTCACAACGTATACAAGAGTGCTTATGGGGACTGTCACAGAGGGGATACAAGCATGCTCATTTCATTCTTTTCCTGATGTGCATTTTTTCATTTTCTTATAAAGAAATGTAGTAAGAAACAATTTCACTTGTGGAGACAGAAAGGGGATATAAAAAGTTATCAAGGGGCTGGCGCTGTGGCGCAGTGGGTTAACGCCCTGGTCTGAAGTGCCGGCATCACATATGGGCGTTGGTTCAAGTCCCGGCTGCTCCACTTCCAATCCAGATCTTTCATGGCCTGGGAAAGCAGTGAAAGATGGCCCAAGTCCTTGGGCCCCTGCACCTGCTTGGGAGACCTGGAAGAAGTTCCTGGCTCCTGGCTTCAGACTGGCACAGCTCCGGCTGTTCTGTTCATTTGGGGAGTGAACCAGCAGATGGAAGACTTCTCTCTCACTCTCTCTACCTCTAACTCTGCCTTTCAAATAAATACATCTTTAAAAAAAAAAAAACCTAAAAGGTAAATTTCTTTAAAAAAAAAAAGTTATCAAGCTGGGGCAAGCATTTAGTCATTTATCTTAATTGGTTAAGATGCCAATTAAGATGCCTGTGTACTATTTTGGGGTACTAAATTCAATACCATGTTCCAGCTCCTGAATCCAGCTTCCTGGCTCATGTAGATCCTGGGAGGGAGTGGTAATGGCTCAAGTAATTTAGTCCCTGCCACTCAAGTGGAAGCTCTGGATTGAGTTCCTGGCTCCTGGCTTTGGCTCAGTCCTGGCTGTTCACAGCATTCAAGGAGTAAACCAATGGATAGAAAAACCCTCTCTCTTCCTCTCAAGCAAACAAACAAGTAACTTAAAACCTTATCAAGTAAATAAAGCTCACAAACACTGAAGAAACAAAATAAAGTTCAAGGTATCTGTGACAGATTAGACAGGAAAAAAAAAGTATTCTACTTTGGTTTCAAGCCTTTTATGATTGTAGAATACTATGAAAGCCTCCAGCTTGGGCCCATCAAAAGAGCTTTCAAAATTATACAATTTTAACTGGAAGATTATGGGACCAGATTTGTGTATCAGGTTCAGCCAGCACTGTGACAGTTGCATTCCCTATCAGAGTACAGGTTCAAATCCCAGCTATTCTATTTCCAATCCAGCTCCCTGCTAATGTGCCTAGGAAGCTAGAAGATGGACCAGGGCTGGCAATGAGGCATAACAGGTAAAGCTGCCACCTGCAATGCCAGCATCCTATATAGGTGCTGGTTTGAGTACCAGCTACTCCACTTCCAATCCATCTCCCTGCTAACGCACCTGAGAAAACAACAGAAGATGGCCAAAGTGTTTGGGGCCCTGCATCCACATGGGAGACCCAGAAGAAGCTCCTGGCTTCGGTCTGGCCCACCTCTGGTGTGGCAGCCATTAGGGTAGCTATTTTGAAGTCTTTGCTAAATTCAACATCTGAATTCACTAAGAGCTTCCACTGACTACTTTTTTTTTTAAAAGATTTATTTAATTTATTTGAAAGGTACAGTTATAGAGATGGAGGGAGGGATGGAGAAAGAACGGGAGCGGAAGAGGGAGAGAGAACAGCCAAGGCTGAGCCAGGCCAAAGCCAGGAGCTTCATCCAGGTCTCCTTCATGGGTACTGGGGCCCAAGCATTTTGGCCATCTGCTGCTGCTTTCCCTTTACATTAACGGGAAGCTGGACTGGCTGTGGAGTAGCTGTGAATTGAACCAGAGCACTTCAAGGATACCAATGCTGCAGGCAGCAGTTTAACTTGCTGTGCCACAATGTCAGCCCAACCATTTCTCTTAAGGGTCCTTTCCTACTCTGAAATGTCTAATAATAATGAATTCAAAATTAGACACTGTACATAACACATTCTAGTAATAAGTAGACTGTATCATGACTACATCCTAACAAAGGTGAAATAACTTATCCAAGTGAAACGTTCCAGAATGTTCAGAAGCAACATTAATAAACAAGGCTTGAGCCAGCCAGCTCACTCATTAGGGCTGTGTATTAAACACCAACCTGTATAAACTATGAAGTTAATATGTTTCTCAAAAAAGAAAACAATTAGTGGGGACTTGAAACCACACAAAGTTCAATTTCCTCAAATGGATCCCATGCAGAGAAAGCTATCTTCTTTTGGGGGGAAGGGGGATACGGCAGAAAAATACAATGGTATCTAACATGCAGAATGAAGATGACAATCAACATAATAAGGCAAAGACATACCAGCTTTTCAGGGTTAGAGATTTTTTATTGTGTATCCTAATAGGATGAGAACCACAAATACGCATTTTTGACACAACTATTTCATGTGGTACTTTTTTTCAAAAACTCCTTTATAAGAATGTCAGTACTTCACAGCTATTCTAAGAGAAACAGGTAAAATACTTGTATTTGTGCTTAAAATGAAATTTTAAATCAGATGTAAGGAGGGATGGGGAAGTGGAGGCAGGCATTTGGCCTAGTACTTAAAGAGGCCTGGGTTTGATCCCCAGCTCTGTCTCCTGACTCCAACTTCCTGCTGATGCTCACCTTGGGGACAGGGGTGATGGCTTAAGTGAATGGGTTCCTGCCACCACATGGGAGACCTGAATCCAGCTCCCAGCTTCTTGTTTCATCCTGGCCCTATCCTGGTTTTGCAGGCATTTGGGGAGTGAACCAACAGATAACACCTCTCTGTATTCCTTTGCCTCTCAAATAAATAGAGGAATAGGAAGGGGGAAAATAGTCAATGAATCTGCACTTTGAAAACTAAGCCAAAGTGAGAACTTATCAAGAGAGGTAATGCCACAAGGTAGTTGATGAGACCAGCTGACCTCTGAACAGAGAAATCCATTAACTCTACCTAGTTTCTAAAAAACCTTAAATGTTGTGTACTGTATGAATAAAAATGGCAATTGTCTTATAGTCTAACCCAGAGTTTTTCTACTAAGGGTAGTATTTATTTAAAAAAAAATTTTTTTTTTTTTGACAGGCAGAGTGGACAGTGAGAGAGAGAGAGAGAGAGAGAAAGGTCTTCCTTTGCCGTTGGTTCACCCTCCAATGGCTGCTGCGGCCAGCGCACTGCAGCCGGCGCACCGCGCTGATCAAAGGCAGGAGTCAGGTGCTTCTCCTGGTCTCCCATGGGGTGCAGGGCCCAAGCACTTGGGCCATCCTCCACTGCCTTCCCGGGCCACAGCAGAGAGCTGGCCTGGAAGAGGGGCAACCAGGACAGAATCCGGCGCCCCGACCGGGACTAGAACCCGGTGTGCCGGCGCCGCTAGACGGAGGATTAGCCTATTGAGCCGCGGCACCAGCCCCGTATTTATTAAAATTTAAGCCCTGAAAACGAAACTACTACTGCAAAGGTCACCAACAAAACTAGCTGATGGGGCTGGCGCAGTCATACTGTGGGTTAAGCTGCGGCTTACAATGTCAGCGTGCCGTACTGGAGTGCCTGTTTTGAATTCCAAATGCTCCACTTCTGATTCAGCTTCTGATAATGCACCTGGGAAGGCAAAGGAGAATGGCCCAAATACTTGGGCCCCTGCCACCCATGCAAACTAGTATGGAGTTTCTGGCTCCTGGCTTTGGCCGCACCAGGGACCTGGTAATTGTGGTTCTTTGGGGGATTGAACCAGTGGATCAAAGAGCTAGCTCGCTCTCCTTTTTTCTGTATTACTGTACCATTCAAATAAACAAATCTTTAAAAAAGAGCTAATACGTAAGGAAAACTTATATGTAATGAAAGTTAAAATTTTTCTTAAAAAATGTTTCATGGGGCTGGCGCTGTGGCACAGCAGGTTAACATCCTGGCCTGAAGCGCTGGCATCCCATATGGACGCCGGTTTGAGACCTGCCTGCTCCATTTCCAATCCGGCTCTCTGCTGTGGCCTGGGAAAGCAGTGGAAGATGGCCCAAGTCCTTGGGCCCCTGCACCCACGTGGGAGACCTGGAGGAGGATCCTGGCTCCTGGCTTCGGAATGGCACAGCTCTAGCTGTTGCAGCCAACTGGGGAGTGAACCATTGGATGGAAGACTGCTCTCTATCTCTCTGCCTCTCCTCTGTGTAACTCTCACTTTCAAATAAATAAATCTAGCTTTAAAAATAAAATAAAGTACAACAGAAAAAAAGAACGTTAACCATTTAAGATCAGGAGGTTGTACAAAATGCAAATAAAGCACTTTAGAAAGTGCTTATTTGTTCTGTGTTTGTACATTGAAATGACTGAGATACTGTATTTCCAACACAGTCCTGTAAAAACAAAAAATTAAATCTACCATTACAGAGTCAAATTTAACACTGTCAGGTAAAAATGGCTGTACTTTGCATGCAAGCTTTATTATTTTACATGTTAGTAACCTAAACTCACTGACTGGAGATGTCCATTGCGGCATGTCAGGTTAGTACTATCATTATAGACATCCGTTTGTGACTTGGAAAACTGCATAACTGGTTGCAGCTTCTCTATGCAACAAAGGGAGTTAAAAAAGAATAAAATAAACAAAAAGAAAAAATATATAATCAAGAAATAAAATGTGCTTGTGAAAATGAAAAATTATGCAAGGTGTTACAGTGTTGTTACATGATGATTATAGTTTACATCTATAAAAATACTCTTTAAAATATAATTAGTAGAAACCAAGGCATGAAAATAACAAAAATTAACAAGGTAACAGGTGTGTTCAAAATATGCCCTACGCAAGTCTTCTAACTTGAGATACCCACATATTACTATTATTACCAGCAAATAGCTACTAAGTATCTACTATGTTAAAACCACTATGCTGGAATGTATCATGGACACAAATAACTTTATCTGGTCTCTACCACAGACACTTACTTATTAAATGTAATTGGTAACTTGGTCTCTGCACTGTGGTGCAGTGGGTTAAAGCCATGGCCTGCAGTGCTGGCATCCTATATGGGCACCAATTTGATTCCTGGCTGCTCCTCTTCTGACCCAGCTCTCTGTTAATGCACAGAAGAAAGCAGCAGAGGATGGCCCAAACCTCTGGGCCCCTGCACCCATGTGGGAGACCCAGAAGCTCCTGGCTTCAGATCTGCCCAGCTCCAGCCATTGTGGCCATTTCAGTGGTGAACCAGCAGATGGAAAAAAGACCTATCTCTCTGTAACTCTGTCAAATAAATCTTTAAAAAATGTTACTGGTAACCTACAACACAACAATGTATTTTTTCAGATTTATTTGAAAGACAGTTACAGAGAGAGGGAGAGGTCTTCCTTCTGGCTGCTGGTTCATTCCCCAAATAGCCCCAATAGCTGGAGTTGGACCAGGAGGAACCAGGAGTTCCACCTGGGTCTCCCACATGGGTGTCCAGGATCCAAGCACTTAGGCCATCTACCACTCTTTCCCAGGTACATGAGCAGGCAATTGGATCAGAAGTGAAACAGCTATTACTCAAGTGGTGCTCACTCGGGATGCCGGCATTGTAGGTAGCAATGCTACACCACAACTGCTACACCACAATGTAGACCCCAACAATATATTAAAAAAAAAAAAAGAAAAAAGAAAAAAGAAAATTTTCAGAGCACAAAAAAAGAGACAACTGAAAAAGCTCTATGGGTGAAGTAGCTTTTGAAGGATTTGAAAAGAAAAATAGAAAGGACATCTAAGGAACAAAACAGTACTTTTTAAAATCAGCACTGCAGGAAACTATGAATGTTGAAGAGATACTGTATTTCATTACATGAACTAACATACATCAGGCAAAAAATAAAAGCAATGAAGGCCAGCAGTGTGACACAGCAGGTTAAGACTCAGCTTGCAAAGCCAGCATCCAATACGAATGCAGGTTCAAGTCCGGGCTGCTCCTTCTCTGATCCAGCTCCCTGCTAATGTACCTGGGAAAGCAGCAGAGGATCCCCATGTGGGAGACCTGGATGGAGTTCCAGGCTCCTGGCTTCAGTCTTGTCCAGCTCCAGCCACTGACATTTGGGGAGAGAATCAGCAGACAGATCTCTCTGTCTCTCTCTACTTCTATTAACTGTGCCTTACAAATAAATAAAATGTCTTTAAAAAATAAGTAAAAGCAACAAGGCAGAGTGGAATAAGCAAGCCACAGAACTCTGTGTATGTCTCCTATCATTTGTTTACCAAACACATAGACAGTTGTAAACATAAAAACTACTTCTAAAAAAAACACCCATGGGCCGGCGCCGCGGCTCACTAGGCTAATCCTCCGCCTTGCGGCACCGGCACACTGAGTTCTAGTCCCGGTCGGGGCACCGGATTCTGTCCTGGTTGCCCCTCTTCCAGGCCAGCTCTCTGCTGTGGCCTGGGAAGGCAGTGGAGGATGGCCCAAGTGCTTGGGCCCTGCACCCCATGGGAGACCAGGAGAAGTACCTGGCTCCTGCCTTCGGATAGGCGTGGTGCGCCAGCCGCAGCACGCCGGCCGTGGCGGCCATTGGAGGGTAAACAAACGGCAAAAGGAAGACCTTTCTGTCTGTCTCTCTCTCTCACCGTCCACTCTGCCTGTCCAAAAAAAAAAAAAAAACCAAAAACAAAACACCCAAAGACACTGGTAATAGAAGGTGTGTCTGGGCTGGCGCCCCGGCTCACTAGGCTAATCCTCCACCTGCGATGCTGTCACCCTAGGTTCTAGTCCCGGTTGGGGCGCTGGTCCAGTCCTGGTTGCTCCTCTTCCAGTCCAGCTCTCTGCTGTGGCCTGGGAAGGCAGTGGAAGATGGCCCAAGTGCTTGGCCCTGTGCCCACATGAGAGAACAGGAGGAAGCACTTGGCTCCTGGCCTCGGATTGGCACAGCACGCCAGCCATAGTCGCCATTTGGAGGGTGAACCAACAGATTGAAGACCTTTCTCTCGGTGTCTAGGGAAGCAAAATGGGTGGCTGGGACACACTATGTTTATACTTGAACCTTTAAAGTTTTGTACCAGAGGCAAGTGTGGCCCAGCAGGTTAAGTTGCAGACTCTGGCATTCCATATCAGAGCGCTGGTCTGAGTGCCAGCTGCTCCACTTCCATTACAGCTTGCTACTGACACATCTGGGAAAGGATCAGAGGATGGCCCAAATAACTGGGTCCCTGCCACCCATATGGAAGATCCAAATGAACTGCCAAGCTCCTGCCTACAGCCCTGGCCATTGCAGCCATTTAGGGAGTGAACTAGCAGATGCAAATCTTTCCATTGGTCTCTTTCTCTCTCTCTGTCTCCCCCAAAAATAAATAAATAAGAGAGAGACAGACAGAAAGGTCTTCCTCCGCCGGTGGTTCACCCAACAAAGAGACATGCGGCTGGCGCACCGCGCTGATCCGAGGACAGGAGCCAGGTACTTCTCCTGGTCTCCCATGGGGTTCAGGGCCCAAACACTTGGGCCATCCTCCACTGCACTCCCTGGCCACAGCAGAGAGCTGGCCTGGAAGAGGGGCAACCGGGACAGAATCCGGTGCCCCGACCGGGACTAGAACCCAGTGTGCCGGTGCTGCAAGGCGGAGGATTAGCCTAGTGAGCCGCGGCGCCTCTGCCCTCTCTTCCTGTTGTTTCTGCCTTTCGAACAAATATACAAACATTTTGAAAGTTTTATGCCATATGCCTACATCACCTACTTCAAAAGTTAATCAACTAAACATTTAAGAAGATTCTTTCAACTGTATCTCCACTTCAAATAACAAGAAAAATCTCCCAAGACCTGCGTCTAGGGGTGGGTGTTGTGGCACAGTGGGTTAAGCTACCACTTGGGATGTCTATATTCCATACTGGAGTGCCGGTTCACTCCTTGGCGACTCTGTATCCAACTCAGATTCCACTAATGCATCCTGGGAGGCAGTAGGTAATGGCTCAAGTATTTGGGTATCTGCCACTCATGTGGAAGACCTGAATGAAGTTTCAGGCTCTTGGCTTCAGCCTGGCTTAGCCCTGGCAATTGAAGACAACTGGGAAGTATACCAGTAAATCCAACATTGATCAAATGATCAACTTTCTTTCAGTAACTCTGCCTTTCAAATAGATGAAAATAAAACAAACATTAAAAAAAATCTGGGTCTAGCACCTGAAGTCCAAAAGAGGAGCATTGAGACTTTCTTTGCTACTGCACTCAGTTTTTCTACTTAAGTCATCAATCTATATGCTAGTTGACCTATACACTGCTCCACCACCTAACAATGATATGACCTTGTTTTAACTTCAATTTCTTGAGATCTTAATGATTAAATAGAACAAAGTATATAAAGTACATTTGCTACTCTGCACCCATGATAGGGACTCAGTTTTTACATTTTTTTTTTTTTTTTTTTTTTTGACAGGCAGAGTGGACAGTGAGAGAGAGAGGCAGAGAGAAAGGTCTTCCTTTGCCGTTGGTTCACTCTCCAATGGCCGCCGCAGCCGGCGTGCTGCGGCCGGCGCACCGCGCTGATCCGATGGCAGGAGCCAGGAGCCAGGTGCTTTTCCTGGTCTCCCATGGGGTGCAGGGCCCAAGCACTTGGGCCATCCTCCACTGCACTCCCTGGCCACAGCAGAGAGCTGGCCTGGAAGAGGGGCAACCGGGACAGAATCCGGCGACCCTTACCGGGACTAGAACCCGGTGTGCCGGCGCCGCTAGGCGGAGGATTAGCCTAGTGAGCCGCGGCGCCGGCCTCAGTTTTTACATTTTCATTTTAAAGTTCCCACAAGCAAGCACCACACTTGGTTTATGGTACTACCACATAATTTTGGAACAGGTTAAATAGCAGTTACCTTTTTTACACAAAGCATAAAGTACTGCAGTTTTTTATTCCAGAATTGGTTGATAAAATATACTTTTGAGCTTTTTATTTTTTTGGATAGCTAACAGGTCATTTGATCTTTCTAAATGATAATAATCTTTAAACAACCATACTGAGAAAGAAACCATTTGTTAGAAATATAACTTAGAAAAAACACAGATTTGTAAATGTCTTAACAATTAACACTCTGATTTAACAAAAAGTTCACTGAATTATTAATTATATAGTAAAAATACCAAATTAAATTCTCAACTTTAATAATTAATAGGGAGCCAGCGCCGTGGCTCAATAGGCTAATCCTCCGCCTAGCGGCGCCGGCACACCAGGTTCTAGTCCCTGTCAGGGCGCCGGATTCTGTCCTGGTTGCCCCTCTTCCAGGCCAGCTCTCTGCTGTGGCCCGGGAAGGCAGTGGAGGATGGCCCAAGTGCTTGGGCCCTGCACCCCATGGGAGACCAGGAGAAGCACCTGGCTCCTGCCTTTGGATCAGCGCAGGGTGCTGGCCGCAGCACACTGGCCGCGGCAGCCACAGGAGGGTGAACCAACGGCAAAGGAAGACCTTTCTGTCTGTCTCTCTCTCTCACTGTCCACTCTGCCTGTTAAAAAAAAAATAATAATAAGGGGGTTGGCACCATGGCATAGCAAGTAAAGCCTCCACCTGCGGTGCTGACATCCCATATGGGTGCCAGTTCTAGTCCTGGCTGTTCCACTTCTGATCCATATCTTTGCTATGGCCTGGAAAAGCAGTGGAAACGGCCCAAGTCCTTGGGCCCCTGCACCCACGTGGGAGACTTCGAAGAAGCTCCTGGCTCCTGGCGCTGGATTGGCCCAGCTCCAGCCAAGCTCTGGGGAGTGATCCAGTGGATGGAAGACTTCTCTCTCTCTCTCTCTCTGCCTCTGCCTCTCTGTAACTCTGCCTTTCAAATAAAATAATAACTTTTAAAAAATAAATAAGCCTAGCCGGCGCTGTGGCTCAACAGGCTAATCCTCTGCCTTGCGGTGCCAGCACACCGGGTTCTAGTCCTGGTCGGGGCGCCAGTTTCTGTCCCGGTTGCCTCTCTTCCAGGCCAGCCCACTGCTATGGCCCAGGAGTGCAGTGGAGGATGGTCCAAGTGCTTGGGCCCTGCACCCGCATGGGAGACCAGGAGAAGCACCTGGCTCCTGCCTTCGATCAGCGCGGTGCGCCGGCTGCAGTGCGCTGGCCGCGGCGGCCATTGGAGGGTGAACCAACAGCAAAAGGAAGACCTTTCTCTCTCTCTCTCTCACTGTCCACTCTGCCTGTAAAAAATAAATAAATAAACAAACAAACAAGCCTAGGCCACGTCTTCAAAAATCCATCTATTTCTATGTACAAATAAAGATTGATTAGGCATACATTTCAAGCATGTATATTCAAACAGACTTATTATATCCACTTATACATTAATTGATACCTAGAAGTTGTAAACGGTCCTTGGCCATGACTAAATTTGTCATCATTTTAGCTTGAAGGCGTCTAGCTCTTTCACACTGTTCACCTAAAAGAAAAAGGAAGAAATTTATTAAAATATCCATGTTTCAGGGCTTACATAACAAGTAAAGCTGCCGCCTGTAGTGCTGGTATCCTATGTGGACAACAGATCAAGTCTCAGCTGCTCCACTTCCAATCCAACTCTTGGCTACAGCCTGGGAAAGCCGAAGAATATGGTCCAAGTCCTTGGGCCCCTGCTCCTATGTGGGAGACCCAGAAGAAGCTCCTCGCTCCTGGCTTCGAATCGGCGTAGCTCCAGCCATTGTGGCCATCTGGGGAGTGAACCAGTGTATGGAAGACCTCTCTCTCTCTCTGTCTCTGCCTCTCTCTAAATCTGCCTTTGAAATAAGTAAAATAAATCTCTAAAACAAAACAAAACAAAAAAACGTTTCAGCCTGTGCCTTGGTGCAGCAAGTTAAGCTGCAGCCTGCAGTGCCAGCATCCCTTGTAGGTGCTGGTTCAAGTCCCAGCTGCTCTACTTCCAATCCAGCTCCCTGTTGATGTTCCTGGAAAGGTAGCAGAGGATGGTCCAAGTCCTTGGGCCCCTGTACTCATGTGGGAGACCTGGAAGAAGCTCCTGGCTCCAGCCTGGTCCAGCTCTAGCCATTATGGCCATTTGGGGATTCAATCAGCAGATGGATGATCTCTCCCCCTCTCTCTCCCTCTTTAATCTCCATCCTCTCTAATTTTGACTTTGAAATAAATAAATCCTTTAAAAAATGCACGTTTCCCTAAGTAATTCTTTCAAGAAAAATATCACCCCAATTATTCTCAGGGCGAGTCAAGGTCTTAACAAAGAAATTTTTTAAATATTATTTTCAAATAATATCCACAAAAAAAAGTTAGTTCCTTTTGACAGTTTCAGATCTATTGTAGTATTATATTGAGTTCACAAATATTTCACAGAGCCTAAGATATTTTTCCCTTACATTTCAAAATACTTAATATTGGGATGCATTTTATACTGTCAACTTAATGCTATCAGTCAGGCTGCAGTAGTAATGTTTATCATTTCCTGTGCCTGCATAAATTTGGTCATAGCTACTAATACTGTTGTCATATCTACACCCACAGAAGAGTAACATGGCCAGCTTGCTAACAGTAGGTTAAGCTGCCCCCTGCCTTTTTTAAAAGATTTATTTATTTGAACGTCAGAGACTAACACAGAGAGAGAAGGAGAGGCAGAGCGAGAGAAAGTGGTCTTCCATCCGCTGGTTTACTCCCCAATCTGCTGCAATGGCTGGAGCTGTACCAATCCGAAGCCAGGAGCCAGGAGCCTCCTCCAGGTCTCCCACGCGGGTGCAGGGGCCCAAGCACGTGAGCATCTTCCACTGCTTTCCCAGGCCACAGTAAGAGCTGCATCAGAAGTAGAGCAGCCAGGACTCGAACTAGTGTCCATCTGGGATGCCAGCACTGCAGGCAGTGGCTTGACCTGCTTTGCCACAAGCTGCCCCTTTCAATACCAGCATCCTATATCTGAATGCAGATTCCAGTCCCAGCTGTTCTACTTCTGATCTACCTTCCTGATCATGCACCTGGGAAGGCAGCAGAATTTGACCCAAGTACTTTGGACCCTGCCACCTATGCAGGGGACCAGGATGGAGTTTCTAGCTCCTAGCTTCAGCCTGGCCCAGTCTTAGCTGTTAAAGCCACTTAGGGAGGGAACCAGTTGATTAAACATTTCTTTTTGTGTCTCACCCTCTCTCTGCTGCCTCTGCCTTTCAAACAAATCATTACATCTTTAAAGAGCACACTTAAAGATAATATTAGACTCTAATTTCAATTTGATGTGATAGGAATGTATGGATGAGCAATAACTGCTTCACTTTGGAAAAGCCAACTATGAGGTTGCAAATGTTTTGCCTAGCATTTAAGATACTGGTTGATACACCTTTATCTGGTACCAGAGTGCCTGTGTTTAATACACATGTCACTCCAGCTTCCTGCTAATGTAGACGCAGGAAGGAAGCCATGATGGCTCAAGCAATTGAATACCTGCTACCCAGCTCCTGGCATTGGCCTGACCTAGCCCAATCTGTTGTAGGCAGTTGGGAAGTAAACCAGTGCTCACTCACTCCCTCTCAAATAATTTTTTTAAGATTTATTTTAATTATTTGAAAGAAAGAGTTAAAGAGAGAGGTAGATTCAGAGAGAGAGACAGACAGACAGATGTCTTCTATCTGCTGGTTCACTCCCCAAATGACCACAATAGTCAGAGCTGAGCCAATCTGAAGCCAAGAGCTTCTTCCGGGTCTCCCACGTGAGTGCAGGGGCCCAAGCACTTGGGCCATCTTCTACTACTTTCCCAGGCCATAACAGAGGGCTGGATCAGAAGTGGAAAAGCGAGGACTCAAACCAGTGCCCGTAAGGGATGCCGGCACTGCAGGCTGGGGCTTTAACCTCCTGCGCTACAGCGCCAGCCCTGTCAAATAGATTTAAAAAAAATTTTTTTAATGCCAACTGTCAATCAAAACAAAACATTAATAGTTATGTTTTAATATATAACCAAGAACACTATCCACAAGTACAAAAGGAGTTTATGGATCAACTATTCCTTCCCTTCCATACTAAGGAAAGGATTAGTATAAAAAATAAGTTTAAAACATCAGACTGATCACCAATAGTAGGGCAAAGAGGACACAAGTAATGTACTAGTAATAACCAAAACAATCAAGCCTGAGCATATTTGGTTATAATTTCATTTTAGAGCAGGTAAAACACTAAATGTAAGCCTACAAATGTTAAATGTTTAAATATTTTTATTAAGAAAAATAGATCTGAAGGCCGGTGCTGTGGCATAGCAGGAAAAAAGCTGCTGCCTGCAGTGTCAGCATCCCATATGGGTGCTCGTTCAAGTCCCAGCTACTCCACTTAACAACTAAAATGCTGTTAGAGGAATAAATTTTATTTAAGAAAAATTTATTTTATATTGAGTTTTTAAATATATTTGCTGTTAGAAAACAAACACAATTTCGGTAATAATTGTTCTACTTCCGATCCAGCTCTCTGCTATGGCCTGGGAAAGCAGAAGATTGCCCAAGCCCTTGGCCCCCTTAACCCACATGAGAGACCTGGAAGAAGCTGCTGGCACCTGGTTCCAGATCAGCCCAGCTCTGGCCATTCCGGCCATTTGAGGAGTGAACCAGATGATCAAAGACCTCTGTCTCTTTCTGCAACTTTACTTTCAAGTAAAATAAATAAATCTTTAAAAAAAAAAAAAAAGGGGGTGGGGGGAGGAGGAATGAAGAAGAAAAGAAAAAAAAAAAGAGAAAGAGAGGAAGGGAGAATGGGAAGAAGGGGCGGGGGGAGAAAAAGAAAGAAAAGATCTGGGGCCAGCATAACATAATAGGTAAGACCACAGCCTATAACACCAACATCCTATGTGGGCACTGGACCTGTACCAGCTGCTCTATTTCCGACCCAGTTCCCTGTTACTAGCCTTGGAAAAGCAGCAGAGGATGGCCCAAGTGCTTGGGCTCCTGCTTCCCATGTGGGAGACCTGAAGAAGCTCCTAGCTTGGCCCAGCCCTGGCCATTGCACCATATGGGGAGTGAACCAGTGGATGCCAGTGGATGGAAGATCTCTGTCTCTTCCCTGTCTTTATTTCTTTCAAATAAATAAATAACTCTAAAAAACAGATCTTATATTAGGGCAATCAGATGAATACAGAAATCCCCCCAAATCCACAACTTTTCTTTCTCAGCTATTTATTACCTGAAGTCAACCATGGCCCAAAAATATTAAACGGAAAATTCCAGAAATAAACAATTCCTATGTTACAAATTGTAGTCTGAGTTGTGTGATAGGTCTCAGGCCATCCTAGTCCATCCCATCTGGGACATCAATGATCCCCTTCTTTTTTTTTTTTTTTTTTTATTTTTTTTTATTTTATTTTTTTTTTTTAATTTTTATTTTTTTTGACAGGCAGAGTGGACAGTGAGAGAGAGAGACAGAGAGAAAGGTCTTCCTTTGCCGTTGGTTTACCCTCCAATGGCCGCCGCGGCCGGCGCACTGCGGCCGGCGCACCGCGCTGATCCGATGGCAGGAGCCAGGAGCCAGGTGCTTTTCCTGGTCTCCCATGGGGTGCAGGGCCCAAGCACCTGGGCCATCCTCCACTGCACTCCCTGGCCACAGCAGAGGGCTGGCCTGGAAGAGGGACAACCGGGACAGAATCCGGCGCCCCGACCGGGACTAGAACCCGGTGTGCCGGCGCCGCTAGGCGGAGGATTAGCCTAGTGAGCCGCGGCGCCGGCCGATCCCCTTCTTTGTCCAGCAAATACACACAGTATATGTGCTACCCATCTGCCAGTCACTTAGTAACTGTCTTGGTGTCGGTCTAGATAGGTCAGTACTATCTGTGTTTTCACAAACTGGGAGTCTTGGAACATACTATTCTTGAAAAATGGGGGACAACTATACAATTAGGGATGGTTATAAGCAAATGTAAATATCACTTTACCTTGTCCTGTAACTATGACAGCAATTCCTTTTTCTAGTTCTTCAATACCTTTCTTATACCATTCCACAGCTTGTTCCTTCTGCCCTGCTTTAAAACAGAAATAATTATTTGTATATATCATAAGCATAAAAAGTAGACTGCACATTTCCCAAAACATGCTGCTGATACATAAAGAATAAAGTTTGATCAAGTAAGTCTGAGAAACATCACTGTCTACCTTTTAGTACTTTTAGCATCTTAATGTGTACATAAATCTCTAGAAGAAGGAATAATATAATCATAGTGTTTCTCAAAATTTTATAGCTCTGAGTCCCTTTATGCTTATCATCTCAAAATATTTATACTAAAATGCTGTTAGAGGAAGAAATTTTATGTAAGAACAATTTATTTTAAATGAGTTTTTAAATATATTTACTGTTGGAAAACCAACACGATTTCAGTAATGAGGAAAAAAAAGCACTGTTTATCTAATTATATTCAAATCTGATGTAATACATTCATTGTTCTTTACTTTCTAGAGTAAGTTTTCATCTAACAAATGATTGCATCATGAGAACTGGTACATGTAATTACAAATGTGATACTGAGCAACACATTCCTATTTTTTCTAACCAAATGACTTATTTATGACATAAATTCACATTCTAAGTTTAGCTTAAAAAATCTAAAAATTAAGCATAATCTAAAGGCATATAAGCACAGATACTTCTTGTAAAAGGACACTTACATGACAATCTCATTGTTTTTGAAAATTTTTTTCCTGTCCTTAGACTCTGCAATGCCTCAGAAGTGGCTAATACTAAGATATAGTAGGGAAAAGGTAGAAACCAAGTTCCTCGTTTAACAGCTCATGGACCCAATTAAGTAAACAAAAATTTGTCATTCCTCAGTACTATTTGAATTTCAAGATCAATAAAGCATCATTACTCTCTCAACAACATAAAATAAGTCTTCTTAAAATCAGGACTAGGTTGGCACTATGGTTCAATAGGCTAATCCTCTGCCTGTGGTGCCGGCACACTGGGTTCTAGTCCTGGTCGGGGCGCCGGATTCTGTCCTGGTTGCCCCTCTTCCACGCCAGCTCTCTGCTATGGCCCGGGAGTGCAGTGGAGGATGGCCCAAGTCCTTGGGCCCTGCACCCACATGGGAGACCAGGAGAAGCACCTGGCTCCTGGCTTTGGATGCAGCGCAGTGTGCCAGCCGCAGCGCACTGGCCACAGCGGCCATTGCGGGGGTGAAACAACAGTAAAGGACTGACATTGTAGAACGGTGGGTAAAGCTGCAACTTTGACACAGGCATCCCATAGGGGCACAAGTCTGAATTCTGGTTGCTCCACTTCTAATCTAGCTCCTTGCTAATGTGCCTGGGAAAGCAGTGGACAGCCCACGTGCGTGGGCTCTTGCACCCACATAAGGAGACCCAGAAGAAGCTCCTGGCTTTAGACTGGCCCAGCTCCAGTTACTGTGGCCATCCAGGAAGTGAACGAATAGATGGAAGATATTCCCCCCCGCCGCTTTTCTCTACCTTTGAAATAAATACATTCAAAAAGAAGAAATGCTATTTTCTGGGCCGGCCCAGACCACTAGCATCCCAGCAGGGCTCTGGTTGGAGTCCTAGATATACAACATCCAGTCCAGCTCCCTGCTAAATCTCCTGAGAAAGCAGCAGAAGATGGCCCAAGTACTTGAGCCCCTTTAATCTAAGTGGGAGACCCAGATGAAGCTCCTGGCTCCTGTGACCATTTGGGGAGTGAACCAATGTTTGGAAGATTTCTTTCTCTGCTTGCTTCTAACTCTACGTTTCAAATAAATAAATTATAAATAAAAGAATAAATGCTATCTCCCAATGAGTGTCTGTTTTCTACTCATCCTGAAAAAAAAAAAAATCACTAACTAAATACACTGATTACCATCCAGCCCCTTGCATAAGATAATCAGTTATTACAATATCACTAATATATTCCCCTTGCCTAGTAGAGAATAACTGCTCAATAAATACTTGATAATCACATTAAGAAACCAGTATGAGTTTTTTGTGTCACTCAGTTTGGATGTCCACCTTACTGTTTCCAGTAAACAAAATGTATTTACGGAGCCAGCACTGTGGTACAGCAGGTTGAGCTGCTGCTTGCAACGACGGCATCCCACATGGGTGCTGGTTTCTATCCCAGCTGCTCCACTTCTGATCCAGATCCCTGCTATGTGCCTGGGGAGACATGAGAAGATGGTTCGAGTACTTGGGCCACTGTACCCAGGCAGGAGAACCTCCAGTAGCTCCTGACTTACACATGGCCAAGCTCTAGTCACTGCAGCCATTTGGATAATGAACCAGTAGACTGAAGATCTCTCTCTCTCTGTAACTGTGCTTTTCAACTAATAATCAAATCTTAAATAATAAAAAAAAAAATACTAAAGGGGAAAAATTGTGGGCAAAGAACAAAACTTACAGTTTGCCAAAGAGGAGACATAAAAGGCAAAGAAACACACGAGGGGCCAGCATTGCAGTGCAGTGAGCTAAGCTGTTGCCTATAACACTGGCATCCATATGAGCACCAGTTTGAGTCCTGGCTGCTCCACTTCTGCTCCAACTCCCTGCTAACGGGCCTGGGAAAGCAGCCAAATATGCTGCTGACTTAGGAGACCAGGATGGAATTCCAGGCCTCTGGCTTTGGTCTGGTCCAGGTCTGTTGCAGCCATTAGTGGAGAGAACCAGTGAATCAAAGATCTCTCTCCCTCTCCTTTTCCCTTTCCCTCTCCCTGTATCTGTCTCCCCCAATCTCTAGCTCTTTAACTCTTTCAAATAAATACATAAATCTTAAAAAAAAAAAAAAAAAAAAGACTGATGTTCTTAAAGAAAAAGCACATGAAAATATGCTTAACATCTTTCACTGTTAGGGAACTACAAACTGTAACTCAAGACACCACTAATTCATATAATTAGGAATGGGCTGGCGCCGCGGCTCACTAGGCTAATCCTCTGCCTTATGGCACCAGCACACCAGGTTCTAGTCCCAGTCGGGGCGCTGGATTCTTTCCCGGTTGCCCCTCTTCCAGGCCAGCTCTCTGCTGTGGCCCGGGAAGGCAGTGAAGGATGGCCCAAGTGCTTGGGCCCTGCACCCCATGGGAGACCAGGAGAAGCACCTGGCTCCTGGCTTCGGATCAGCACGGTGTGCCGGCCGCAGCGGCCATTGGGGGTGGGGTGAACCAACGGAAAAGGAAGACCTTTCTCTCTGTCCACTCTGCCTGTCAAAAAAAAAAAAAAAAGAATGGCGGAAAAAGAAAGAAACCTCAAAATGTACCTGGACTAAGTGCGATGGGTAACTTGCTTGCTGATGGAACTGTAAAATGGTGTAGCCAGTTGAAAAAAGAATGTGGTAGTTTATTACGACATTACCCATGTACACATGACCCAAACTCACCCATATATGTACCCAAAGGAAACAAAACACCTAAGACTTGCATGTGAATTCATATAGCAGCTTTATTCACAACAGCTAAAAACTGGAAACCCAAAAGGTCAATTCTTCAGTGAAAGAATTAACAAATGGTACATACACACCTGGAACACCGCAACAGTGAAAAGGAACAACTGATGGGTGAGGAACACGGATGAATCTCAAACATCACGCAAAGTGAAAAATGCTGGACACAAAAGGCTAAATGGGGTACGACCCTATTTATACAATACTCTGAATACAAACCAGAGACAGTGACTGCCAGGAGCTGAGGGCAGGTGAGAAGACAGGTGGTGAAAAGGCAAAAGAACTCCTGGGGTAATGAAACATTCGGTGTAGTTTATCACCATGGTGGACGCTACCAACTGCTTGTCAAAACTCAAACCTTCCCTAACGCACTCGACTACACCCCTTATGTGTAAACTCTATCATATGTATCTCAATAAATCTGATTTTTAAAAACAGTTATTTCAACATTTATATATAAGAGTTTTCATTGTGGCTTGCATTATTCAATACCAGATCTAAAATTATTCATTACCAGATTTAGATTAGAAGAGGAAAAAAATCTTTTGGGTCCAGTGCTGTGACACAGCAGATAAATCTGCGTCTGCAGTGCCGGCATCCCGAATATGGGCACTGGTTTGAGTCCTGGCGGCTCACTTCCAGCTCTCTGCTGGAAAGCAGCGGAAGCTGGCCCAAGTTCTTGGGCCCCTGCACCCATGTAGGAGAATGGGAAGAAGCTCCTGGCTTCGGATCAGCACTGCTCTATCCATTACAGCCATCAAAAGAGTGAACCAGCAGATGGAAATCCTTCTCTTTCTCTCTGTAACTCTGCCTTTCAAATAAATAAATCTTTAAAAAATAAAAAAACCTTTTTAAAGACATCTTTTCTGAAATAATTACTTCCCAAAACAGTGGAAACTACCAGAATAGAAGAAGGGATCACTTCCTGCCCATTAGGATGGCTACTATAAAAAATTATAGGAGTAGGAATATAGGAGTGGGAATTTAGCCTGACAGTGAAGATGCCTATGAAGGGGCCAGTACCGTGTCACAGTGGGTTAAGCTGCCGCCTGCGATGCAGACATCCCATATGGGCACAAATTCGTGTCCCAGCTGTTCCACTTCCGGTACACCTTCCTGCCAATGTGCCTGGGAAAGCAGCACAGGTGGGCCCAACTTCTTGGGCACCTGCACCCATGTGGTAAACCAAGAAGAAGCTCCTGACTTCAGCCCAGACCAACCCTGGCCATTGTGGCCATCTGTTGAGTGAACCAGCAGATGGAAGATTTCTTTCTCTAACTCCACCCTTCAAATAAATAAATAAATAAATGATTAACAACAAAAAAATACAGGGCTAGCACTGTGGTGTAGTAGGTATGCCTCCACCTGTGGCGCTGGCATCCCATATGAGAGCCAGTTCAAGTCCTGGCTGTTCCACTCCTGATGCAACTCTCTGCTAATATACCTGGAAAGCAGCAGAAGATGGCCCAAGTGCTCCAGCCCTTGCACCCCCGTAGGAGACCCGGGAGAGGCTCCAAGCTCCTACCTTTTGATCAGTCCAGTTCTAGCTGTTGCAGCCATTTGGGGAGCAGACCAGCAGGTCAAAGATCTCTGTCTCTCCCTGTC